ACATATAACAAAACTGGTGGTGGCAGGAGACTTGCATTCTAGAAGAATAACACTAGGCACTCGACTATGAATAGTTTTCTAGTGAGACAGTTTAGAGTAAACCAGTACTTTTCGTTGGTGTTTCAATGAAATAATTTATTTACAAATCCACGTCCCATTTCTCCCGAAATCACTTAATGTGGGTGGTAATCTGTCTAGTGGGGCTACTAACATTCCCTGTAAATTCGGTAAAAGCACTATCTGTTCATGCCTTTCGACCTTTCAAGTTACACCAACGCTCTTTTGGTACTTGTAAGTTAGCGATACAGGGGTAGTTCATTGCGAAACCGTACTGCTTTTCAGAGACAGCCATATATTCCATCTGGATACTCAATTAATACATTGCAAGTAGTCTTCACGACCAACTTGAGAACTATGGTGATTGTACTTGCAGGACAGTATTTCTCAGATATTTATCTTGTCTGCTCCCAAAACGTGTGTGCCTTATTTCACACATGGTATATATACCCAGAGAATTTGCAATGAAGGTAACGGGTTTCCTTAATTGCGTGGGATGCATTTCATCGGGTCTCTTGGATTTCCCACGGAGTTTATTTAATGGACCGAAGTCATCGTTTTATTTTATGGCCAAAGTACCTAAAGTGTGGTTATTACGATTTGTTATCACCAGCAGTTGTGTTTCTACTGTGTATTTTTTAAAGTTCTGTAAGTGCCTCGGTATTTTGTAGTCACCTATTGGCGATCCCATATGGTCATTCATGCGATTATGGTATACTTCAAACCCTACCTATCCTGCAGTTTATGTTCGAAAAAAAGACGTTTTGGAGACATTAGAGTTCGTACACAAATTCGCCTCATTACTATCTTGGTTTTCATGGGCTATCTGTCCACCAAAACGTAAAACTTGTACATATGTACATCGATTGAAGTTGCCATATCAGAGCAGAGAGATGAAATTGTCAGTAGCAATCCCAGGATAGTAGTAACAGTTTCAGTGGTAATAGCAAAGATCAGGTACTGAAGATACAATACGAAAGCAATATGTAAATTAGTAGAAATGGGGTTAGACAGAGCGGATGCATGCGCGTCATTGCCAATGATTTTGAGCCACGTCATTCAAAATTTCTAAACACTGCTTACTATAATGACGCGGAACTCAATCAGGTAGTATACACCTACCACAACATGGCAGTAGTAGTGACTGCGCGGACTGATGCCATGTTTTGGTTTGGACACTCCTACATATCTTCCGGATGGTGGTTGGAAATACGTGGCGTACGTCTAAAATACCTCAATCAATGAAGATTTACTACCTTGTCAGTGGACTTTCCACATTAATAAAGTGCATATTTCTAACCAAGACATTGTTCATAACGTGGTTTACAAATGAAGACCATTGCTTCATGGACATATGAACTAATCATTGTTTTTAAAGGCTATCTTTTCCAGACACAAAGTAAAATGGAGAGAACTGCTGCGCAGTATACTCGTCCCGTAGCTCAGATGGATATCTCGGCTTCATCACAAGTAGGCGAAACACAACAGCTTTTTGGGTTCGTGACGAGGTATACCCTATTAGCACAGCGAGAAGAAATCTTCAGAATAAATCCCAGAGTGGTGCAGGTAGTAACAGTGTTAGGGATGATATAAAAATTCAGGCATAGAAGACATGATTCGAGAAAATACAGGATAATGAGAAAACAATAAAATTATGAGGTGATTTAGAAACTTAGTGTTTGAGAAAAAACAAAGAATGGATGCACCTGCACCATTGCGAACGTTGTTGAATCATATCATTTAAAGTCTCTAACCATTAGTTACGATTATGATGTGGATCCAAAACAGTTAGTCTGCACCTGAGTGTCTTAGTACAACAGTTAGCGTGTTTACGAACTGATGCCAGGTCTTGGTTCGACCGCTCCTATTATTACAACAAACTACTATTATTCAAGCCATCATCGTCCGTCGAGGTAGTCGGGAGGTGGTCACATGTAATACATTTTCGATAAACTTTACCTACCTCATTAGTCGATTTGTCATCCTTAACCAGTACCCTGCGTCTAGCTTCATAACTACTTACTCAGAAATCCCAAAATGCACGGGTAATAGTTTACTGACCTTTATAAACCCAATATTAATAACCTAGGAATCACTATTTAAAGGCTATCTTTCCCAGCCACAAAGTAGAATGGAGAGAACTGCTGCGCAGTATACTCGTCCCGTAGCTCAGATGGATATCTCGGCTTCATCACAAGTAGGCGAAACACAACAGCTTTTTGGGTGCGTGACGAGATTTCGTTAGACACCAAGACATCAGCACTAGTGAGATTACCAAGATCAGTGAAGTGACGATGAAAGCGTTATCTCTAAAAGCATGTCTATGACAAAGTTAAATAAAAATGGAGCGAGTGGACAACACTGACGAACACTTCTCGAAGAACCCGTTTTCGATGACAGTTCATCATAAGCTCTGACTCGACCAATAGTATTCGGGAAGAAATCCCTTATAATGTTAACCCTATTTTTTGGCACGCCTCGCAATGACAGGTACTGTCATAAAACCTGTCTATTTACGTGGTCGAACGCTATTTAAATGTCATTCTCTAGCTGTTCCTGAAATATATTTTTAACTTATCCATCAACAAGTTAAACTCCAAAGTGTTTTCTTGATGTGGCTTTTCTACATTCAGTTAGGCGCAAATACGTGCTCGCTCTGCAACTGAACTACCTGGTATGATAGGAGCTAAAGGAACATGTATTCCAGTCTATATAGTTCAGTTGGGGCACCACTATAGGCGAGTTCGACGAGGGCATCATTGTGGTAGCCACGGTCGTGGTTGAACATGGCACAAATGCCATCCGTTTTTGATATTGAGACTTAGCCCTTCTAAATTTCCAGTGGCTTAAATTCTTCGAGTCTATTTTATGTTTACGAAGAGTAGTGCAAACTTATTTGTTGAACATGTGGCGCGTATATATTTAGTGCCCTCTTGTATCAATATTTATGTGTTCAAATAGATAATTTGTTGAATATTAGTCGACTAGCTTGTGGTCTTTGTTATATTGTCAGTGTCGTGCGTTTTTTAACTGCTATATATAATCCTTTAAAAACCTCCCAACGGACGTTTATGGATGTCCAAACATTTATTCTGAGAAAATTGTATGTCTATTCGCTTTACACACGTTTGGTTGGATAGGGTCAACAAGTCATATTTCGAAGCAGTGCACCGCATAGTTACTTTTACTTAGAGGGAGTGTGTAAACGATGTTGGCGACGTCTTACTGTTGATGCACTATGCAAAGACAATTCTGTATTATACCTCGCTTCTTTGACATATTTTATTTATGCAGGTATCACTGATAGTTCCCTGTTAGCTCCATCCTTAAATTTTTCCATTCGATAGTTACATTTTGATCTTTTAAAATTAAGCATCTACCTTTAAAAGAACAGGTCTAAAGTTTGTTCACCAAAACTTCATCTTTGTGGAGTTTAAACCAGCAAACTGAACCCATCAGCAGCCGGCGATACGATTACTGATGGATTTTGCTACTCGTCCTCCCTTACGCACATGGGTTTCGGCGACCATCACTATTATGTTCTCAAAATTGACTTCAGTACCGTCTACTGACTAGTTTAGTGATGTTCTCGTTACAGCATTTACATCCGCCCTGCTAGATTTCATCTTTACATTTCCACTATCACTAGGGCTACTTCTACTGCTGTGAGATTCGTTTTAAAAAATTATCTCGCTAGGCACATTCCATCCCTTCAATATAAACATGATCGTAATGGCTATATCGAAACGCATCGCACAAAATGCCCGGATCCCAACTAAGACTGATCACATTTTAGTCCAAGAATCAATAGCGGAACCACCCAAACCATAACAAATTAAATTTATGTGCTCTACATGTGTATCGTTCATTTTGGGGTCTTTAAACTCTTGGGATAGGAGTAGTTCAAACTTGGTTTAAAATAAAGACATAGGTTTGATACATTTACTCAGAGTTTTGGCTTCCCTATCTTGGAAATTTAGCAGGGGTGTATTGACTAAAATAATTGTTCTTTAACATCCTGTAATGGCATCAAAGCCTGTTAGGAGTGGGCAGAAAAAAGCAGTAATGTTTTGACCTCTGAAAAATCTGTACTGCATGTGTTCAGAAGATATTCCCGGAAACTGTTTTGTCTTTGTTTATCAAAGGTAACCGAAAGCTTTTTAAGTTATGGAGCTAATCTTAAGAACGTTCATTCACCTGAAGGTCTTATGTAACTGTGCACAAACACTCGTCACTTTTTCTCTGTGATAACACCTCAAGGTCGACGCGATCGTAAATAGCAATTCAGTTCCTTCTTCAGGTCTGTCATGGATAAATATTCCTACATAGTGTTGACAGCCACGAGGCGCCAATCACTTAACAGCACTCGAGTTCATCTTATTCCCAATCAAACTTTATCCTCGCTTCCTGATGCATCGATCATCAATCCTTCTAATCCCTATCCATACATAATTAATTCTAGATTGGATTTCAGTTCATATCCACCTGTTTTACTGCATATTAAAGAACGTGATATCTTCGAAGTATGGGGAAACATTCTATTGAATCTTCAAAGTTCCTTACCAGCTGCAGTCAGTATGGATAAAAAGAATAGTTCTACCAAAAGCCTCTCAATATTCAGTAAGTTAAACTGCCAGATATAATTAAAGTGAGTACTTTGAGCTCGCAAGTAGGTAAGTTAAATGAATCTGAAAGCTGTGTAGGGGGGTCCTTTTGTCGTTTCTACCGACCGAATAGATAACGGTGGCAGTTTGCTTTAATTATGCCCGAAAGTCAATTAGTTATACAGTTGTACACATTTTCCACATTTGAGTCTTGATTTAACTGTCGTTCCTAAGCATTTCTTCATTGTTCTCGTCTATTGCTTTTAATCCATATCTATCATAACTAGATTTCTATTGCAGCGGAAATTAATTCTCCTGATCGCCAATATCGGGGGCAACTACTGTCTTAAACATATTCCATTATATTAAATAAGAATTCTTGATAACTAGAAGTGTTTCCTAATAAAAAAACCGAACCGTTCGTAACACGTGTACAATACCAGGTAAAAGATTTCAAAATAAATTAAAAAATAATTAGTCAACATCTGTTAAAAAACAAGTACGAAAAAGCGAACAATGAAAAATTTGGGTTTGAACTATCAATCATAATTCTAAAACAACAGAAAGGAAATTAATGACATTATCATCGAAACAAAAATAAACGATAAAAAAAACCAAATCTAGTGAAAGAACCGCAGTAAAATCAAATTTGCCAAGTGGATATTTATATATCACTCCTCGTATATATGTGCCATAAGCGCACGCATGAACTCTGCTTGTGCTCTTAGTATGGTGGAAAAGTCTTCGACTCGTTCTTCTGAAAGAGAAATGTGGGATGTCAAAAAGGCGATATGTATATGGCGTTTAGTTTTTAACGAATAAAATCGCTGAATATACAGAGAAATAGATTCATTTTCAAATTTTACAAAATAGTGGCAATGACGATATAATTTGAACTATAGATATACCCTTTAACTTGTAGGTGAACCAGTAATTGTTAGTATTCCATTTGTGGTTACGTGAGACTTGACTACATTATTTGAAATAATTAAGGTGGGAAATGAAACGCAAATATCATTTAGAAAATACTACAACTATATATATCAATAACATTACTCTAGTTCATAATTGTCAACATCATATGTAGTCATGTAATGAAATGAACTACATATAGTTGATGTTATCAGATATATCTTAGTGTAACGTTATACAATAAAGAGACTACTTCTATGAAATCCTTTATGACCAGACTAATCTGAACATCAAAAGCGATCAGCATTGCAGAAACTAAGTACTTTAAAGCTTCAATAAACTTAGCAATAGCTTGCGATTGTCAGCTTAGATTTACTGTTGAATCTTCTATGAAAGCTAATTAACCCTTAAAGTTTCAGGTTACTAAGACAAGTTTTAAGTGTTCAACATGCTAGAAATTTCAAAATCTACAGTTTATTTAGAAAAAAAAAGCAATATGTACATGAATTTTTTGATATAATTGTCTCTTTCTGCACAAAATGTAGGTGCTTACATCAATAGAATTAATTTCTTGAAGTCATTGCGAAAATAACTTTAGGAAAAAAATGCTGAACTATTAAAAACTATTGGAAAAATGAGTTCTTTTTTAATTTGTTTAATGAATCAGTAACAAATTGGTATAATCGAATTTATGAATATGAAATAAATGGAAGGCTACAAATGATGGATTTTAATACGAGAGGTATGCTTTCAAAGTTACCAAATAAACTTTATAAAAGCTAATACAAACCCGATTAAAACAAAATAAAACAGAAAATTTATTAACTCACCTAGTTCATCAGTCTCATACAGATCGACTATAACATCTTGAAAAGATCGAGCTAACTGATCTAGAAAAGCAGTTCGATCTTTTTCTTTTGTGGCTTGAAATGTAGCACTGACAAGATTAATTAGTTCTGTTAATTTTGCACGAATTTTCACCTAACCATAGATTGAAATATTATGGATTATTATAATAATTATTGTGTAGATATGAATGGGCTATATATGGTGTAGTGTATTTAAATGTCTAACAGATTTAAAGCTGCAGCCCATTCACTTTTCCTTTATGTCTATAGAAGGACACCGATATAAAATTGTAACAATACGCTTCTGTTGTAATACATAAAGATATTGTCTGAAACAGCTGAAGTTCATCATCAATCCTGAATTTTGAGTCGATACCCCATGGAAACAGTATCTACGTATAAGGCTTCCCATATTTCCTTTTGTTTATCGACATGACCCTCCAGAGCAAAAAGTGGAAGAATAGTACTGTTTGAAACCCTATTTTTTTGGACGAAATACCTAACCTTCACTACCCTAATGCAGTCACTGATCATTTCAGTTTCCACAATCAATATTTAAATTGCAAGAAGGACACTTTGTAGTTCTCAAAACGGTTTAGTTCTTTAGATAATTTTAGGTTTTAGATTTTCTGAAAAATAATAGTGAAGTATAAAGGTATAAAATCAAATATACCTGAACTAAGCATAATGAAGTGAGAGTGACAGCAACTTCAGCAGTTTTTCCACTGCGGGCTTTATTCGTCACAGAAAGTAACGCTATTTCTGGTCCTACAAAGAAAAGACATAATAAATACAACGGTCGATAAAGTTAGACTTAATCCTAATCAACTGAGACGGATTGTAAACAGACTACAAATAAAGATGAATGACCCATAAGGAATATACCATATGGATACAAACGTATTCTTTTAAGTTGTAGAAATATTACAGAAAAAACTGGAGATATATAGACTGGAATATACCGGTGTGACGCATCTTTGAATATCAATGCAATGGTGAGAGTCGAAGAAGCCTCTCAACGACATCGTTGAATATACTTGTGCAACAACTAAACACACTTCAGACTTATTATTAATAAATTTCTATTATCATAGTTGAAATCACAAGTCGGTCTAAGCTAGAACACCATTAAAAACCTGCAAGTACTGGACGGGCATTTCGTCCCAGTATGGAACTCCTCAGCAGCACGTATCCACAAGGAGTCTCATACTAAGACGAAACGGCCGTCCATTGTTTTCAGTCGTGGTACAGCTTAGATCGACTCGTGATTTCAAATGTGAAAATACTACAATCTCTACTCATCTCCATACTGATAGGAATTTCTATTAGTCTGAAAAATATATGTTCTTACAAATTTGTAATCATATTATCACAAACTTTACATATAAATGACATATTTCATACAACTAATTTATTACACTGTTGTATAGGGTAGTAAGTTAAGCTGGTATATCTTTTTTAAAGGGTTTACAATTCAAGTATGTACGAATTCGAAATGAACAAATAATTTACACTAAACAAAAAAATACAAACCCGATGTATGCAATAGACACGCAACATTTTCTGCTAACCAATCTTCGGGTGTTGTTGTAATTTGATCAATTATATTGATGATATCATCAGGTGTCCATAAACCAGAATGAAACATATTTGACAGGACACTTCCAAGCTCTCCAAAACAGGCAGATAATTGTTGAGAATCAGCAGCTGTATTTTCACACATTGTACGCCACATCAGATTCCCTAGTGTTTAAAACAAAATACTGATTGTTTAAGAAGCATCAAAAAACTTAAATGCGAAATATTTGCGTTAAATTTTTAAAAAAAGCGGCTAAAAATAAAAATACCCTTAAGTTTTATTTAGGGTCGGGTTGAACGGATACATCTACAGATAATCTAAACAGTATTTGCAATCATCGACCATATTGGTTTAGCTTATTGAAGAATGAGTTTTCGTAAAACATTCAAAACAGGCGTGTGGTTGATATTTCATTTAAGGATAAAAAATTTTATTTAGAACAAGAAATGTAAGGTCTGGTCATAACGCAAATAATACTGTGGGGAAACAGTTTTAATGTTCCCATAAAGTGGTCACTGGTTTTCTCTATAATTTATACATCTGTGGTAACTATTTTCATATAAAATTGTCCAGAAATAGTTTAGCTGGTATGGAAGCACTACAAACGGATAAGCAGGAGCAACACTTTCATCTTTCATTTCGTTTTATCAATAGTAGGTCTTCTGGAGCAACTTTTACTCAATAGTCCTAGTGATATTATTCGACGGTTTTAAAAATGAGTTGAAAAAAAGATACAAATGTAGTTTTCGTTTGCCTTTGGCAATCTGTTGACAGTCACTGAATATGTCCTACATTTCGTTAGTGATATATTGTAACTCATATGTATAGGTACTTCTGTTAAATTTACTAACATTGTTTTCAACAAACTAGGGATATGAATGACTCACGCATTATCAAAACACCCTTCTGATCCACGTACAATATTTTCTGAATACTATTGGTTTTTTTTCAATTAACAAATATTTATAAGGCTAAGATATTTTAATGCCGAAATTTCCAAATTTTATTAACAGTGTATGAATACAAATTGCTTATAATGAGAATATAATGAAAACTTATTAGGAATTCCTAATCGTTTACAAATGCCACCAACCCATTAATTACACATATGTTTATGATTTTCAATGAATATTTAAAAAATCCCTACAGTTAATCTTCCACGGGAAAGTTGTTTCCTGGATATTTTCAGATATAATCTCATAATACTGATTTTTATGATACACAGCTAATAGATTTAACAGAACTTAAAACTGATTAACAGAATTACCTCTATGTAATGGTCCATACAAAATAAATAAAATTCTAGCTTGATGAGTGTACGAATAAGAATGGAGAATCTTCATCAAAGTGTTTGAAGCTGGCCAGAAATAATTATTTGTCAGTTTACTTGAAGAAGCTGGTAAATTCTGCGTGACCAAGGTTGGAAGTGATGACAACGAAGATCCTGCAACACCACTGTGAGTAATAAATAGTAGATAAATAATACTAGGGTGTAACAGAACCAACTTCTCAAAATAATTCTAATATCATTATTCTAAAGAGGTGAACTTAGATCCACAAAAATGTCCGGTAGGCATTATTGTTAACCATCACAAAGTAAAATGGTGAATTATGAAGTATACATGCTAGACTGCAGTTCCTGATACTAGACGATGACATATTTTATAAGAATTATTAACTTGGTAGCTATGGGAATCAAAATGCCGTTAGAATTAACTTGGTGTGTATTGCTGAGTTGAAACATTTTACATCTCTTCTAAAGCTAAGTTTCTAATTTTATGCATCAAAAAATACTGTTTTATTAATCGTGGATAGATGGAAAATATTTCAAATTATACAGTTATGATAAGGGTGTCTAAGTGGTTAAATTACTTAATTTTCAGTCACAAAGTTTCAGGTTTCAGCCCTGCTCCATCTACTTCACTTTAAGCTGCTGGGTAGAGTCATTAGCATTCACATTTAGAGTGTGACCCATACTCGAGTACCTAGAGAACCAGCTGATTTCAACACTAGCGACGGAAATATCAAGATGGCAGATAGTACTGTTTACGCAACGTGACAACCTTCCAGAAAGAAACCTGGACCAAAGACAAGACCACCAGCCAGAAGCATGGGTTTCCTATCTAATATAACAGTATCACAATTACTTGATCACTGGGTGGTGATTAATGTCACGTGTATCAAGTCCTTCTTAGTCCAGACCGGATGCTATCGACTAATTTGAAACGTGGCCGTTATTCTATGTGATTCGACACTCCGTGCACTATGTTAAGATTAGATGGTGGTTGGAGGTAGTCAACAGGAAACCCTGGACCCGGGTTTCGTGCTACTTGGCACTCGTCAGCAAGGTGTACCTGCAATCTTGAGGGAACAGTGATCAATCGATTGTGACTACATCTCAGTCCTACAGGTCGGTCGCGGTCAATTGGTAACGTCTCTGACTGTGAAGCTGGGTGACACTGGATCGAATCTGTCAGGGAGTACCAGTTCCCTCAAGACTACAGGTACAATTTGATGAAGTGCCAAGTAGTACGAAACCCAGGTCCAGGGATTCCTATTTACTATCTCCTCAACCACCATCTGATATAACTGTGTGTTTATATACAAAGTACTACGCAAGAGAATAAACGTTGAATAAAATAGTGATTGGAAGACAGATTTCGTATATTATTTAGGTCATAGTGATTTTAAGACCTAAATATAAGGTTTAATTCTTGTTTGATAAATCAAATAAACTGACAAGAAAGTAGAATTAAAATTTGATTAACTGAATATGGGAATAAATAATAGCTAGCAACTATCTTGTATACATACACAGACCCTTATTTAACAAGTAACTGTAATATGATCATTTTTGTTCTTAATATTTTCCAAATGCTGTATACCAGCCGTTCAGTCATACGCAACTTAGAACCTGTAACATGTGTACACCGTTTCAAGTTGATATACCCTATTAGCACAGCGAGAAGAAATCTTCAGAATAAATCCCAGAGTGGTGCAGGTAGTAACAGTGTTAGGGATGATATAAAAATTCAGGCATAGAAGACATGATTCGAGAAAATACAGGATAATGAGAAAACAATAAAATTATGAGGTGATTTAGAAACTTAGTGTTTGAGAAAAAACAAAGAATGGATGCACCTGCACCATTGCGAACGTTGTTGAATCATATCATTTAAAGTCTCTAACCATTAGTTACGATTATGATGTGGATCCAAAACAGTTAGTCTGCACCTGAGTGTCTTAGTACAACAGTTAGCGTGTTTACAAACTGATGCCAGGTCTTGGTTCGACCGCTCCTATTATTACAACAAACTACTATTATTCAAGCCATCATCGTCCGTCGAGGTAGTCGGGAGGTGGTCACATGTAATACATTTTCGATAAACTTTACCTACCTCATTAGTCGATTTGTCATCCTTAACCAGTACCCTGCGTCTAGCTTCATAACTACTTACTCAGAAATCCCAAAATGCACGGGTAATAGTTTACTGACCTTTATAAACCCAATATTAATAACCTAGGAATCACTATTTAAAGGCTATCTTTCCCAGCCACAAAGTAGAATGGAGAGAACTGCTGCGCAGTATACTCGTCCCGTAGCTCAGATGGATATCTCGGCTTCATCACAAGTAGGCGAAACACAACAGCTTTTTGGGTGCGTGACGAGATTTCGTTAGACACCAAGACATCAGCACTAGTGAGATTACCAAGATCAGTGAAGTGACGATGAAAGCGTTATCTCTAAAAGCATGTCTATGACAAAGTTAAATAAAAATGGAGCGAGTGGACAACACTGACGAACACTTCTCGAAGAACCCGTTTTCGATGACAGTTCATCATAAGCTCTGACTCGACCAATAGTATTCGGGAAGAAATCCCTTATAATGTTAACCCTATTTTTTGGCACGCCTCGCAATGACAGGTACTGTCATAAAACCTGTCTATTTACGTGGTCGAACGCTATTTAAATGTCATTCTCTAGCTGTTCCTGAAATATATTTTTAACTTATCCATCAACAAGTTAAACTCCAAAGTGTTTTCTTGATGTGGCCGGGTAAGTGTCGGTTTGATTTGGTTTACCTACTGGAGCCTTAAAATCACTTGCCATTATTACTACATCAGAACGCTTAGTCTTTTGAAGGAGGTTAGTTAGTTTTCTATACAATTCAGCTTCATATGAACTGCAATTAGTGGGAGCGTAGGCAGAGATAACAAGAAGGCAATATCTTATTTTTCTATGTTTTCTAGTTCTTACTGGAATCCACTATAAAAGAGCCTGTTTTGCTCTTTAACATATCGCTATACCTATACCAGCAAGAACACGCTAAATAGCAGTGAGGTCTCCGGATACTCTATGTGCAAATCGTGTCGATTATTTATACTGACAAGATGAGGTCAAATAAATGAATGCACTTGGATTATACATGCACGTTTCAAAGACGTAGCAAACACCGATGGTGTACGATTCTAGAGCTCTTGCTAAAGACACCTGTTGTCCTATCTGACACTAGGATCGAACATTATAAGCTTCAACATATAGTTTATAGCGTGGTTTTAGGGAGACCGGGAATAACATTTTGTGAACTCAAATCATTAGCATTGGTGAACTGTGATCATAAAGATATAGAAGGGTTAGTTATAGGGATAAAAGGGTCATTAAGGGATAATGGAGGGATTCAGTCGTGAACAAGATGATCTCAGGTGCTGATAGGGATATGAAGGATTTCGTCACTTCCCGGATGTCCACAACTTGGGAGGACATTTCTCCTTGAGGGATCTGAAAAGGAAGGTGAATTGTTGGTGGTCTCAGTGTCCTGAGGGCTCAAGGATCAACCACTTGATGCCGACCACGCGGGGCCTTAGTATGGGAACGTTTATGATGTGCTAGCTCTGCACTTCAAAGCTCATTATATAAATGACAAACCGTTTAATATCCACATTTGCAAATAATTATAGATATTAAGTTCTACAAAACCAAAATACCTAATAATAACAAACGAATAAACCATATTTTAGAATAAGTACACTAACCGCGGCAATTGTGTGACTGTTAATAAATCATCCGATGAAAATCCATTGTTACTATAATTGCTAGATGAGGAGACTGAAGTCAGTAAGGAATTATCAGAGGGATATCTAGGTGATACATGATAAGTGATTGTTTCATGGGTCCAAGAAGTCTTTGAATGGGCTTCAGATGGATGTAGATTTTGAAGTGCGTCATACTGAATAGTTAAGGAACAGTTATCCGATGATAAACGTTGCTTAGTATTGGAAATGGATGACGATGGTGAGTTGATCTCATCATACATTTGTGGTAACGCATTAGGGTCTAAAAACGTTTTTCTCAGGAAAAGGCGAAGCGTCAGTTCAGATTGAGGATCTACACCTGAAGCAATAAAAAGTTCAGAGACAAATTTTTCTTGCAACGTCAACAAAAAAGGGCGAATCCACAAAACTATGTTTATCATTTAAACTCTTAGGACTACTTAAGTTAAATGTACACTCGGTAAGTAAATTATTGAGGGGAAAAACCGATTAATTCTATGAAAATCGTATGGATCTACAATTTTTCAAGGAATTAAATCTAAGTCCTGAATGTAATCCACATTCCAATTATGAATATTTAATTTTGGTGAAATCAACATAACCACGAGTTATTCTAAGTAAAACAGCAAGTAAAACAATCAAGAAGTATATATTTTCATATGAAGATGTCTGATCGAAAAACGGTCTAAATTCCAAATTTTAAATAAATTACCATAAAAATAAGCAGATAGTCGAAATTTATGAATATTTTAGAGCCTCTGAAAATATGATATATTTATAATATTTCTTCTAGTAAATAAAACAACTGTTGTTTAGTAAAATAAAAAAAGTGCAGTTCTCTGCTATACCATTCCACCCACTCTTGGGTAGAAAAAGCACGTAACTGGTCAACATGAAATAATTCAAGCATACTTAGTGGCTATTTGATGTCGTTTTATATTTCAGTTATCTGTCTACAATGACCTTGATCGTCTTTTAAGAATGTTTACGATTTATGTTAAACCACTTAGTGTATCGCAAGTGATCGCAAAGCAGAAAAGTTGTTTAATAAGTGTTTGATGTCAGTATTAAATAGGTAGGTTATCGTAGCTTTTTGTTTTTTTAACAGACAATATTAGATGTTGCTATTTCACAACTATTAAGATTACTCAGGATATAGACAAGGAGACTTAATTTATAGTGGAAGCCAAACATAAGCACACAAATTGGTGACAACACATGAAAGCTTACTTTTTAAATAAGATGACAATGTAAGTATGATTGTGAAGGCTACTTTTAAGATGAACAGATTATTTTCCTTCAAATCAGCTTTAAGGAATAACTAATTTCAGGAAACTGATACAGCTGGTTTCTCATTTTTATTTTCGAAAGCTCTTCTTATTTCAACCAATTGCAACTTCTACAGAACGTTTATTAGTCTAGGTTCACGAATGTCTTAATTAAATTAACGTTTTTACTCGTTCACGTCCACTTCGCTTTAGCGTTTACTATGCTAAGCAACTGAGAAAAATCAATAGGAATGCTTTTTCTTATAAATGGTCAACCGGGATAAACTCCTTTACATTGGTTTTCATTTCAAATACACACATTTGCCAACTCATTGATACATACATGGGATTTCTAGATTATTTGTTAGAGGAACTAGAGACTGTTCTAGCACATATCGTTCAGTTATTTTCAGTTGATAGAATTTCCATATAAAAAAATAGCAAAAATGGAACAAAACAAATATAATCACGTAAAATTGTGATACAAGAGTAGTCTTCTCCAGTTTGTCTCTTACGAAAAGTGACACTGGCCATAACAGTTTTATGTATACCAGGTAAACTAAAATTAGACAATGGACAAACAAAAACATCAAACGGTTACCTGGTCTCTGACAGATCAAACTTGATAGACGAAACCAGAAGTTTTCATTAAAGCATACATGCACAAGAGTGTGAAAAACCCGCTGAATATTTTGTTCTGGCCATCCAAAAATAAATTCTTTCAAGAAAACGCCATAAAAAAGTAAGGCCAAACATTTTAAAGGACCTATGGGACAGATGCTTGGATAATAGTCTGGTTCCTGTAGATTCTGACTAGTCCTGGAAGACTTTTCTAGATTCGGCATATGCTAAAACAAAAATTACTTATTTATTCATTCGAACACATAAATATTGGTACAAGGGGGCACCAAATATATATGCGCCACATAAACAAAGATAATTGAGTTGGAAACTTTTAACCATCAGACATAAAAGTAATAGACACTAACGATTATCAGATGGGTGTAAAACGGTTGCGAGATAAAGTATAGTTGTGCTTGAAGCTGTAGAAGCTACCACGAGCTTCAGTATCCTACATCAAACGCTTATCGACGTCAAGATCTAAGAAAACTCATTGAAGTTTGACCCTTTTTCAATAGAAATATACTTCAGTGGTGGGTCAGGATAGAATGAAGAACAGAACAGGACGAGGGACATTAAAGTGTAGGATTACCAAATGCTGGATAATAAAATTCGAAGTGCAGTATACATGCCAATAACAATTTTAATCCAGAGATCGAATATCACATACACCTGCCAGAAACCTTTTGTTCAGTATGAGGTTTTCTTATCCAATTATTCAATTAAAGGCAAAGCTTTAGCTTTCTGGTAATTTTACAATTCAAACAAACTATATAGAGCATTCATCAAGTCACCTGTCAACAAGGTGAGGAGAGGGCAAAAATGTTAGGGTCACCAATTCTTGAAAGTGAAAAAGCTACCTGTTTAGTTTTGCAGAAATTCAACCAACCTTTTATTAATTAGTGATGTGAACCAAAAAAACAGGAAACAGGGTAAAATTCGTTATTGTAGGTAGTACTAGTTGAAAGCTTTGTGGGTTGTCAATCCCGTGAATTCCTCTATTAAAACATGACATATGGTACTGTACTCTCAAAATGCTTGATACAACATCAGGTCTTTTCGATCTTTTCTTATGTGCATCAAAAAAGTATACAAAACCTATTTTGCCATAAGCAAAATAGCTTCCAAAAATGAAATAAAAACGCATGTCCAGTAACAATTCGAATATACGATTAGCACTCAACTGGTGTTAACTCAGTATGGAACACCAAAAACAGAAGGAAATATTAGTTTGAAAAAAGCAACTTACTCTACGTAAACTACACTCTAAAAACTGGAGTGTACGGCAAAGCGGTTGAGGCTGATAGATTCTACGAAACAGATTTCCTAGTGCTATTATAGACAGCGCCTAACTCACCAGCGTGTTTGTACAACGTAACGGTGAAGGCTGAGTGTAGTTCGTGATTATGTGGGTCGTAAAACTGTGATAACTGTGGACACCGACTACTGTTGCAGTACTTTTCAATCGTAAGTTGAAAGTCCTTGGAAACTTCCCAAAGATTTACCAGGTCGCTGACTAAGAATATATGAAACTTTACAGAGGAATACTTTCGACTAGTGAGAGTATCTGACACTTGATATCAAATGGTAAGATTGAGATTCCAGAAAGGCATCTGTAAGGACTGGATGAATCTGAAAAGTGATGTCTTAGTTGCTTCCTTCCAGGACCACACAACCCGAGTGTTGCGTTTGTGCACCGCTTCATTGAGCGGAATCAAGTTACTGATTTGGATACAGCGCTTTTGTGTAATTAAAAGCAATGTCCTAGTTGGTTAAGTGCACTTAAGCTGACATTAGCAGGTACGTATTTCGAAAACACACAGTCAAACACAATATTAGCTTACATCTTATTCTGTATTTTTGTTACACTCACGCGCGATATTCAAACGGGACAGTGGTATTTTTCCTCTGAATAATTTTCACAGTGTAGCGGTAAATAAATCCCCAAAACAAATAGCACTGTAAGTTTTCGACATTGGATGCTGACCATATGTTTTAGTGGACTCATTTAGCTGAAGGCGCTCGGTCAGGCATCCGCACCAGATCACGTGTGGTAATGCCGTGCTCAACATCTACCGCAATCGCTAGCCAGATTAGATCAGAGAATTCCGATATATTGGTTATCGTCAAATATACTCTTCCGATCTCCTCGACTCTGTCTTTTGATTTCTCTGGTTGGGATCGAAATATATTAGGTGTTACTGGTAGAAGCGTTGTCAAACACTGAATACCTGTCACATCATCATTGGTGAGCCCGACGTGATCTGATACACCTAATTGCAACTGTGAGTCTGTTCCTTTTTGGGACTTTTATATATCATTGCCTTAATTTTTATTTTTTATCTTTTTTTAGAGTAAGATTTTTTATATGTGCAAAATGCCTTACAATCAAATGTCAACTTGCAAAGTCCAAGTTATTTACAACAGTATTGATCGTTAAATTACACATCAAGACCGCTGTTTTTGCTCTAATTGAATGCCTTCAGTTAAAATAATCCCCAAAAGCACAGCTTTTTTCTCTGGAGAGATTTATCATCAGTACTTAACGAGTACAGATACATGAAACTAAAGGCACTGGTAGTTACTCTTCGTCGTTGAATATAACTTCGAGCATTGTTTGTATCCATAGGTTTTAAGATCTTCCCGTGGCTAGTGAAGTCGGATTTTTTAGTGTTTCTTTGTTTTATTTATGTAGAAGCTTAAAACAAATCTTTGGCGAAATTGAAACATCATTGTTGTAGACCAGCATGCTATTTCTCAGTTGATTAGGGGATGCAATGTTATAACTGCAATAAATGGTATCACAATGTGTGCACCGGACTCACCCCGGTCTCATATAAATGGTGCTGTAAGCCATTATCACATTGGTTGTGTAAAACATATTGTTCTACTAAGTCTCTGCTGATTCTGGAGGTGATCGATCTACTAAAATTAGCTAGGAAATTGCCCTCTGATAAACAGGCAGCAACAGATGAACAGAACTCTGCTTTCGAGGAAATTGAGAGCGTTGTTATAAGCTCAGCTCTAGACTTAAATAAAACCATAAAGGTGGACCTCATCGGGGAAACAGATAAGCATATGGACTTAGGCATTGGTACCAGGAGAAAGAAGGAGCGCGCTGAGAAGAAACTATTTATAAACAGTACTGAGGCATGGGAGTCTGTGAGTTCAGTCCCGGACTCACATATCAATGTAATAAAAACTATAGGGGAGCCAAGGTTGAGCAATGTAGAGTAAGTCACCAAGAGACAAAATAAGGCAAATAAGCGGCTCACAGTCATACCTAAGAAAAGAAAAGTAAGAAAACAGATCGTAACCTGCGTTTGACGCTGGAATAAAATCGAGGCACAAGGAAGAGACGGTTTTAGTGACTAAAAGTTCACAGCATGTCGATACAGACCTCGCTATGAGGTCAGTCAGTTTTCATAAGTTAAGAGGATCTTCCGATAATGAACCAAAAGAGACATTTGAGCACGGCCTCAGTCATGTTTAGTCCTTAATGGGCAAGCTACTTCTAGAAACAGTTTCAGGAGTCGGCATCTGTAAGCTTTATAGAATAGGATAAAGGTGGATTCTGAAAGTCCTCAGAAAAGCCGTCTCCTGTAGGTCACATTTGCCACGGTTAAAGAAAGGTAACTCACGTAAACTGACTGCATCCGGAATATACGTCTGTGAGGATCTCACCCTAGCTGTTCGTTTTGAAACGAGCTGCAGAAGTGGAAATGAATGAGCGTTGCAGATATGGTGAAAGAAACCTCGTTTTTGAGGGTTTTCAAATTGTAAAAGTACGGAGCAAAACGATCCCAAAACCACTCTGGGTGGTAACAGGAAGTCCTCCATAGACTTAAAAATATGCTGAAGAAATGCTCGCAGCCTACTAAATAAAATGGCGGAGCTCAAGACAATGGTGGATGTAACGGAAAGAGAACAGTGAAAATCCCTCTTCAGCTTCTTTGTTGAACAGTATTGTCATTTATTTGTTCCTTCTCCCTGTTGTGTATTTCAACCTTTGCTCCGATCTCGTTTAACCATATCTTTTGTTCCTCAGTCTTCCTCGTCTGGGTCTTTATTATGTGATTTTGATTAAAGACTTGTCTTTGTTACCTAATCTTCTATTGCATGTTGCCGGACCATTGACAGTAAGGTCGTGTTTGACTAAGCTCAAGGTCAAGGCGTGGAACGTGGTCTGGTCTAATCAAATAAATTTTGGGTTCGTCAGTCCGTTGTTCCATCCGAATATTGATTGTTCGGTCGCTACAGTGGATAACGAAAAACCGGATGTTATTTCTGTCTCAGAAACTTGCTTGGAAGTATTAGATAATGAAACTCAGTTGACTGGTTTTTTATCCAGTGGGGCTGATAGATTAAGCCGCAGGGGATGCTGGGTTATACTGTACACGAAGAATGTCCTAGCCATAAGAGCAGTTGAGACAGTGACATATGTTTCAGGGACATGTTAACTGGTGCGATGTAAGCTGAAATGTAGACGGCAAGATAGTGAATTTGTTGTAGTGTATCGCAGTCCAGAATGTGCAGCAGATGATTTTCTCCTAAGTAAAATTAAGTCCTGGTGTAACAAGGGTAAAACCCTTGTAGTAGGCGACTTTAGTGCACCATATATAAACTGGGTTAACTTAGAAGTAGGGTCATCGATAACGTTGTTCGATTGCAAACTGTTAGAAACCTCGATTGGATTAGCTTTATTCCAATACATTAGAAATCCCACAAGATATGGCTTAATAAACTCTTCCTCTCTTTTAGATTTAGTCTTCACATACGGTGATGACGTTGATCAAATGACTTTCCTCCCACCACTATGGAGAAGTGACCATGCAGTCATCTTATTCAAATTCATGGCTGAGATTGTCTGTAAAACAGTTACGCCGGCTCGTCCTAATATATGGAAGGCAGATATGGAGGCAATCAACTTCGCATCATCGGCTGAAAACTGGTAAATTGACTCAAGGGCATCAGCGCAAGAGGCATGGACTCATTTCAGGCAGTTATACAATCGGGTAGCTCAACCATACATACCCTGGACAGTTGCAAAGAAGAAGAAGAAGCACGGCCATCCTTGGATAGGCTGGGATATTCGACGTATACTAGGACAAAAGAAATGTTGGAATGTTGTTATCAGCCTTGGCACAACAGGTACGATGGAATGCTATAGATCAGTAGGAAACACGTGCATAACTAAAATTCGGGAAGCTCAAAGAAAATATAAAGTGCAGTTGGTACAATCTGCACTCAAGCAGCCTAAGAGAATATTCTCGTACATAAACTACAGAACGAGGCTGCGCCATTAGATCCCCAACCTCATTAAAGAAGGGAATCAATCTGAAATGATAGAGGAAGATCAGGAGAAAGCAGAGGCTATGCCTGACTATTTTGGGGCAAAGAACCAGACCTAATTACAGAGTCAACAAACCACCTGCTCACCGTGGACTTCGATCAAGACGATGTGCTTAAGGTTCTTAGCACCTTAGACATGGAAAAGTCAACAGGACCAGATGAACTACACCCTAAAATCTTGAGAAATATTGCACAGTATATCGCGGCACCACTGGCTGCGTTATTCAATATGTCACCTGACCAAGGTGTGTTACCTATGGACTGGAAGGACACAGTTGTCACTCCCAAACATAAAAAAGGACCAAGACAAGTTCCATCGAACTACAGACCTGTAAGCCTCACCAGTGTTGTAGTTAAAATATTGGAAAAATAGTCAAACGCACCAGAATGGCATTTATGGAAATCAATAACTTGCTAAACACAAAACAACATAGTTTTAGAAATGATTTATCTTGTACAACGAACCCTCTTATAGCAAGGGAATTTTGGATAAAAGCACTAGACGACGGAAACTCAGTGGATGTTGTTTACATAGACTTCAGTAAGGCCTTTGACAAGGTGCCGACTAATAGACTGCTATTGGTGTTGGAAAACCTTGGTATTGCCGGACCTCTTTTAAAATGGATTAACGATATCCTAGTAGGTCGTAGACAGAAAGTAAGAATAAATTCCAAGTGCTCCATCTGGAGACCAGTACTTAGTGGAGTACCTCAAAGTTCCGTCCTAGGTCCTTTACTTTTTATAATGTATGTAAATGATCTTCCAAGTATAGTACAGTCACCAATGTTATTATACTCTGAGGTGTAAAAATCTGGCTAGTAATAACTGGAGACGCAGACACATGTGCTCTTCAGGGAGACTTAAATAATATGATTAACTGGTCTAAAGAGTGGCTGGTGCTTATCGACGCGGCAAACTGTGTCGACATGCGCTTTAGGGACACGAAGGTTAATAGGTACAGCATAGGGGAAGTCCCAGTACCCATGGTACGGTCTCATAAGGATCTAGGGGTGACAGTCAGTCATGATCTCAAGACGACGGTCCACTGCCGGGAGATCTCAGCCAAGGGGTTTCGAACCCTTTAGGCTTCAAAACGGAAATTCACCAAGTTAGATACTGCCATGTTCACCACAGTATATACAACCTTAGTGTTTAAAAGGTGACTCGAATATCCTAGAAAATGTACAGAGGGCAGCTACCCGTACGATTCCAGAACTCCTGGGTTCACCATACAAAGAACGACTTGAAAAGCTAGACCTCTTTACTCTGTCCTATCGCAGGTGAAGGGGAGATCTAATTTTGATGTACAGAATACTGAGAAATGAGTTCGAACCTAACTTATTCTCTATTTTTGTTCCCACTAGATTGGGACACCTCAAAGGACATAGCAGGCGA